GGTGTGACCTCACTTAATTGCTCTCATCGATCACGCTGTTCAATCAGTTTTAAGATTATAACACTCCTTGAAGAACATGAATATGGAAATGTGAAGAATAGCCCACAATAAATGAATATTGACCTTCGAACCGATGCATCAAGAGTGAAAAAATAAAAAACAATGAAAACCTTTCCTCATCTTACAGTTACAGTTGCGTGAAAAAAAAATGGAACAAGCCAAAAAAAGGAATTTTCTGAAAATTATTTTTTGATTTTCCTTGACTTGTGCACCGAAACATCGTGGTTAAGGTATGCTTGGAAGAACTGTCATCAAATTAGCAGAAACGACCCTGAGTAAAATAAGTGCGTGAGATCTAGGTTTCAGTACTCAAGATCAGCATCGGGATGACAAAATGACCCAGGAAAGGACTTTACCTCAACCATCAGGTATCTTCGAGATATCGTGAAGCATGATATATCTGATGATATATCTAACTTTGAGATATCGTGAAGCAGCATCAAAGGGAAGAGGACACCAACAAGTGAGCAGGTTCCATGCATTTTGAGGGATTTGGAGTCGAATAGCCGTGGATATCCCTGAACCTCTTGCGGAACACTTGAAGTAAACCGCCCAGTATAACGATGGATTGGGCGCAGATATGGTAAACTAAGGGCCTTGAAGAACCGAAGAGTTCATCCAATATCATCTTAGCGATGACCTTTTTGTCAGGTGTGAGGATAATGATTAAGATTTAGGATAATTAAAAGTCACATTAAATGTTCCTGCCTCCAGACAAGTGATCTCTTTTCAAATATCGTCTGCAAATGAAGCGTTTTATTTTCAAGTTGAGGAAAGGTCTCCACTATTTTTTTCACTCTTGAATCACTGGTTTGAAGCTCAATTTTCATGTGGTGTGGGCTGTTCTTCACATTCTTCAAGTAGTGTTATAACATGTTATAACTGATTGAACAGCGTAATCGATGAGAGGTCAGGAGGCAGCGAGCAAGCAATTAAGTGAGGTCACACCGCAGGCGACTCTGCCACTATGAGAGAAGAGGTGCGAAAAAGTGGACTGCACAAACGTCCTACACCCGAGAAAACACTTTGGCACGGTTTTGAAGTTTGTAGTTTTTCCAAATAGCCAAATTTTCAAGGTTTGCTTTGGTGGCCGCCATTTGTGGCAGCTGCTGACTTCTCTGGCTCATTTTTTTATTTGTTCTTCTTCATATGTCTCACCAGGAAAGGTCAACAGGTCAGCCTGGCCATTTGCAATGAGATGCACATCGTTGTACCCGTCTTGAGACGGTGAACTCAAAACTATCTTCAAAATTTGCGGAACGATTCTCTGAGCGGAGTTAGAGAGGTTTTTCTTTACTGTTTTTCTTCTTACGGGCGCGCTGGCGCCGAAGCGGTAGCGCGACTCACAGCGCTCTTCGCGCAAAACAGGTATCATATTCGTGTTCAGGGGGTCAAATAACCCCTAGGGACGTCACCTTAGCGAAATCTGAGCTTCTGACTCAACTTCGAAAAAATGGGGTATGGATAGTCATGGCTGACTGATAGCCAACAGCGATACTATGACTAGCATACTGGTGATGACTGGTCTTCGAACTGAAATAACTCTTCAGTCATGTCTTTTCGCAAACAACAGTACCTGGCTTACTTATTTGTGCCGTCTGCATCGTTTTCTTGACTATCGGGAGGAAATCCCATTAAGAGATCAGCTCGAGTGGTAGCGTGAGCTCCAATCTGCTGCTGGTTTTTTTTTTTTTCAGTACCATGGAATAGCCCACATTTTCCAAGTGAGTCGAAATATCAGATTCGGCTAGAAACTTGTCCCCAGGGGTAATTTAACCCGCTGAACATGAATATGATGGTATTTCATTGCAAAAACCCTTGTGACTTGTGCTACAAGGGGGACAAGCACAAGCACTCTTTCAGGCCACAATGGGTTTTACACTTTCAAAAAAAATCGATCTCAGCTTCCCTTATAGAGAAGTGCAGCCGAGCAGAGATGTTAGAAGCTTTGTCGGCTATGTTCTTGGACAAATGCAAA